AAAAATGATTGTATGAGGTAAGCTAGAGGTCCTGGATTTGGGTGGTCTAGTACAGCCATGGGTTTTCTTCTGATGATCTGATCATAATTTTAAAAAATTAAACTGGTTCAGATCAGGGGGTAGTTAGGGCAGTTGGACGTTAATCTCCTGAAATTTTGACATTTTGATAATATTAAAGTGCATAAGTGACTGACAGAATCAACATTATCAAAGATAAAAGCGATAATGAGCTAAGCCAGTAAGAATCAGAAATCAATTCTGGGATGAAAACATAGTCATGACTTTGTGCTCAATCATAATCACAAAAAAGTATTTCAAAGTATGCAGATATTGTTGGCCCAGAATGACACATAGTACTGAAAAATGGAAAATCGATTCCAAAAGTCTAGAAAAAAAAGAAAATAATGAGGTTAGGTTGTAAATAGTGTCTTCAGATCACCCCAGCAAGGGTAGAAAGGCCAAAATTGAATAAATTACAGGGCCTTGATCTCGTAGAGCGCACGAATCAATGTTTTTAATATTAAATATCTTATGGTGTTTTTTTTTTGCCAATTAACAAAATTTACAATTTTACAGATATGGTATTTATACATTATATTATGAACAGTATATTTGTATTATATAACGATGGCATTCACCCAAAAGCCTAATGGCTTGTGCTAGGTGAGATGATCGGTATTTCAAAATAACAATGCAGTGAACTACATATTATTATTTAAATTTCAAATTGTTACACAAACATTATTTATAATTCACTATTTTTCGTGGTCCACTTGACCAATTAATATCATTCAATTAATTAAGGTTTTAAGTTGAGATAAAAAAAGTCAGTGTCACCAGCGAGATTCGAACTCGGAACCTTCAGCTTGATACGCCGCTACTTTACACTTGAGCTATCGTGACTTCAATCCCCTCGCGCACTAATCTCCCATCTCAACATTGAAAAATGGCAAAAAGGAGGGAAAATTCAAAAGGTGTTGAAGTTGATGTCCGAGTGGATCGAAGACGATAGCTCAAGTGGTAGAGTAGCGGCATATCAGACGAAGGACCTGGGTTCGAATCCCGCTCGTGTCACTGGCTTTTTTTATCTCAACTTAAAACCTTAATTAATGGAATTATTTATAATATCTTTTATGGATGTTATTTAGTTACATTTAACTACATATTATTATTTAAAGTTCGTTTTGTTACATAAAATATTATTTATAATATGTTTTTTAAATGATTTTAGGTCAGCAAAACTATTTATATTAATTTTATTGGTATAATAGAATTCAATAGCAATATTAAATGGGTTTTTATTACAAAAGGTGGCTCTATATATTTGTAAACTGATGGAGCAATCAATCTTCCAATCTTTATAAAATTTAATAAGTAAATTTAACAAATATCTCTGATTGAAATTACGAACTTTAAAATTTTTATACAAAAGAATTGTACAAATATAAGAAGTTTTATAAAATCTAGGTTTTTAAAATTATTTTAATTGTTGTAAGTAATCGTCTTTTAGTGGATAAATTTGCATTACCCGGTATAATCCGGTTACATGGCATTTGAAAAATGGCAAAAAGAAGGGAAAATTCAAAAGGTGGGGTTGAGATGGGAAGTTAGTGTCCTAGTGGATCGAAGTCCGAACTAGCCGTGAGTAGCGGCGTATCAATCCGAAGGTCGTGGGTTCGAATCCCGCTCGTGCCATTGACTTTTTTATCTCAACTAAAAATCTTAATTAATTGTAATATATTAATTGGTCAAGCGGACCACGAAATTAGTGAATTTAATGATTTAAAATGAAGTATACTTCACTAAAGCTCTCCGTGGCCATTTCATTTGTCGTCGAGAATCCAATCCGATTACACGACATTTGAAAAATGGCAAAAAGGAGGGAAAATTCAAAAGGTGGGGTTGAGATGGGAAGTTGGTGTCCGAGTGGATCGAGGTCACGATAGCTCAAGTGGTAGAGCAGCGGCGTATCTAGCCGAAGATCGTGGGTTCGAATCCCGCTCGTGCCATTGACTTTTTTATCTCAACTAAAAATCTTAATTAATTGTAATATATTAATTGGTCAAGCGGACCACAAAATTAGTGAATCTAAATATTTAATTGAACAAACTTGTTTAATTTCAAAGCAGTTAGAGAAATGAATGTACTATTAAATTATTATTATTTATATTGCTCTCGTTTTGGATACTTAATATAATTAATTTAGTTTTTTCTGTGTTCAATAAAAGTTTATTTGTATGATACCAGCTTCGTATTTTATTTATATTTCCAGAGGCTTTTATCATTCATTTGTTTCGTCCTCAATTAGTAAGACGGATCAGCGAATCCAGTAATTGTGCAGTCTACGTCAAGGTCAAAAATATCGTTGTAGATCAGAAAAAAATAATGGTCCCAGGACTGTGCCCTGGAGAATACCACGGTTTGATTTAATTTGGGGGGATAATGAATTATTTATTTTAACTACTTGCATTCTATCCATAAAATAACTTTTGATCGATTTTAAAGCTAAACCTCTTATGCGTTTTTTCTCAAGTTTGTTGAATTTCATGGTCTATTGAATCGAATGCTCTGCTAATATCCAAGAAAACTCCCATAAATTGTTTTGCTTTGTCCAGTTTTTCATAAATATTATTTATTACAAAGTAGCAACTGAAATACATTTTTATGTGTGAAACCAAATTGGTTTTCTGCGAAAAAGTTTTGCTGATCTAAGAAGCCTTTAATTCTTATGTAAAGACACTTTTCTAATAATTTGGAAAGAGATAACGTTAAAGAGATAGGTCGATAGTTTTCAATTCAGTTTTATTGCCAGTTTTGAAAATCGGCACAATTAATGATTTTTTTGAAAATAGTAGGATAAACCCCGTGATTAATTCCATTATATTTCGTGGTCCGATTGACCTAACTTCTTTTAGTTAATTAATCTTTATGTAAGGTATTGTTTAAAATGAAAAAGTTAGCGTCACGAGCGGGATTCGAACCCACGACGTTCGGCTCAATACTTGAGCTATCGTGAAGTGGTAGAGCAGCGGCGTATAAAGCAGAAGGTCGTGGGTTCGAATCCCGCTTGTGACACTGACTTTTTTTAACCAATACTTTTCATAAATATTAATTACATGAAAAATGTTAATTGGCCAATCGGACCACGAACTATAATGGTTATATTAAAGGTTTAATTTTCTCCAAATGAATTTTTATTTATTTATTCATTTTTATTTACGGATTGCCTTTTAAAAATTTATAAAATAAAAGATAAATTTAAAATGAAAAAAGACAATTTGAAATATGAAGTCAAACTATATAATTACCAATTAGTAATTATTATCAAATTCAATTATAATTAATTATATTAATGATGCAATATTTAATTTTCTAATAATAAAATTTTCTTGCTTAAACTGACATTAAATATATCTATATTTTTGTAAGAGTTTAACATCTTGGTATAAAACTGAATTTAAATAGATTTTTTTTTTGGTAAATAGGTGGATATAAGGAAAGATTAATGTTTTTTTTTTTTTTACTATTATGTTTTAGAAAAAAAAAGCTTTACGACTTAAAATTTTTCACGTAAAACGAAATAAATATTCCTAGGGATAGATATTAAATTTTTTAAAATAATTTTAAATAATTTTTTTAAATTATATTAAATATATCTATATTTTTACCCACGACCTTCGGCTCATTGAGCTATCGTGAAGTGGTAGAGTAGCGGCGTATTGAAACGAAGGTCGTGGGTTCGAATCCCGCTCGTGACACTAACATTTTCATTTCAACCGATACCTTACATAAAGATTAATTAACTGAAAGAAATCATTTGGTCTATCGGACCACGAAATATAATGGATTTTCATAAGTAAAACGAAGTATATCTTCACTAAAGCTCTCCTTGGCCATTTTATTTGTCGCCGAGAATCGAATCCCTGATTACACGACATTTGAAAAATGGCAAAAAGGCGGGAAAATTCAAAAGGTGGGGTTGAGATGGGAAGTTAGTGTCCGAGTGGATCGATGTCACGATAGCTCAAGTGGTAGAGCAGTGGCGTCCAAAGCAGAAGGTCGTGGGTTCGAATCCCGCTCGTGACACTAACTTTTTCATTTCGACCATTACCTTACATAAACATTAATTTACTGAAAGAAGTTATCTGGTCAATCGGACCACGAAATATAATGGATTTTCATAAGTAAAACGAAGTACATCTTCACTAAAGCTCTCCGTGGCCATTTTATTTGTCGCTGAGAATCGAACCGGATTACACGACATTTGAAAAATTGCAAAAAGGCGGGAAAATTCAAAAGGTGGGGTTGAGATGGGAAGTTGGTGTCCGAGTGGATCGAAGTCATGATAGCTCATGTGGTAGAGCAGCGGCGTATCGAGCCGAAGGTCGTGGGTTCGAATCCCGCTCGTGACACTAACTTTTTCATTTCAACCAATACCTTACATAAATAATAATTAACCGTTGATTAATGCTCAGATTGAATATATATTCAAGGGGGTGGACGAATAAACTATACATTTTAATTATTTTATTGTTCACATTGCCAACCTAAAATGAATTTCTTTTGTTTTAAAATGATTTTTTTTTTTCATACAATGTCTAAATATATGCAAAGTTATGTTATATTGTGTTGCATAATAATAAGCACGTTCTATTTTGTTTTTTGTTTAAGAGACTAGTGTTTCTTTCTTGTCAAAATTCATTTATTATGAGCAAGAAATAAATGTTTAGCGTTTGATCGCATGTCAAAGTGAGTTACGGAGTTACGTGTAGTACCTTATTTCTGTACACTGCAGTTTGTACATTTGTTCCTCTATTTATTTGTATGGAGATGATTTATGTTTTTCCTCTTGGAGATTGCACTTTTGGAATATTATCAAGAGACAAACGTACATTTCTAAAAGACTTAATCTTCCCCCTTTGCTATTAATTAGCTGTGCGTGAAATTCCGCGGAGACGTGCGCCTCGAAATACACGTTTTAAATTAGTTCACTTTTGCAGAGGGAGTCCAACGCCCAGGCACTGCTATCCATGCTGAGCCGTGATGATGTTGGCACCAGGCCTCATTCCATGCCGGGGAACTTGGCCCATCTTTGGCAGAGCTTAAAGGTAAGCGGCCCCTTGACAGGCAAACGTCCACTGGTCCTTTTTCAATTGAAAACTGGAGAGGAAATTTCATTACGATTCGCACGACGGTTTTCAGATTTCAAACGAGCTCAATAAGGGTTTCGAGAGACAGGTCAGCGCCGAAGAAGTCTACGATCCCCAGGTGAGTCCTGTTGAAATAACTATTCGATTTATAATTTTTTTTTAAATTCTTAAAACAGAAACACTTTAAAAATTTTAATCTTACCAGAAAATACCATATCATTTCAAAAAAAAGCTACCCCTTCAGTAAACATTGCTTACAAATACCTACTATATTCTTGGTTAAAAAAAAAAAAAACTGTTAATAGTAACACCAGGTTGGTAAATATACCATACATCATAGATCATATAGATATTCCAGTTTATCGTCGAGAAAGGAGAAGAAGGTAGATATTTTCAAAAAATTTCAAACCATGAGCACAGTTACACAAAACAGCTTTTTAAAACTAGTTTCCTTCCCACTATCTATTTTTCTTTGAACAGACTACCCTTCCTTTCCGTAAAAACATTAAAAAAGAAAATAAGTCATATTTGTCTTCATAAGTCGTCAGTCTTCATTTAAAAACATATTTAACATATTTAAAAAACTATCAGAGATAAGCCCAGTTAAAGAGAAAACTCGATTTTTTCGCTAAGTTTTCGAAAAGTTTACCACCTTCATCAGGACTTTGATAACAATAAATACTAATTTAAAAGGTTAACAATTATAATTCTTTAAAAACAATGGAGTTAAAAATTGAAATTTGATTTGAAATTGCGAATAGGTGGTAATATTCGTTGAAATTTTCAATTATTACTGAAGGCTTCTTGAACTGCCAAGAAAACGCTAGGGATGTTGGCTCATGGATTTTAATTAAAATTTTTCTCATGATGTTAGACTGAAAAATATTATACACGTGTCCGAGAGTTCTTGCCAATGGGCTCTAGGAGCCGGAAAAAAATCCGTAATTTAAATATATATATTTTTCTGTCTTTTTTTTTATACATATATCTCAAGGTGAATCAGTCGGTTTGTATTTGGACATTTGTCCAGAAAATAGTAAACAATATTAAATTAAAGTGAAAAAATATATGGCGGAATCGTTTCAAAGGTCATCAATTTTTGTGAGTTTGGCAAAAAACTAAGATTTGATGACGAGCAAATTTTTTTTCATGTTCACAAAAATTTGTATCTAGGGGTTTTGAAAGGTGAGAAAAACAAATATAAATTTTGTTTGTTGCTAAAAAGTTTTTAACGTAGTATGCTTCGTCGTTTGATCACAAATTGTAAAGGTGTCTTTTAACCTGCACTTGTCCCTATTTTTTAACAGATCCAAAAAGGGATAATGATGAGATAATTGCTTACATTCAAGTAAGCAATTTCATTAATATTTATTACAAGAAATGGTCTTGTTTAAAGTTTTTTATTTTTAGTATGTTTACTTACTGACCTCAGGGGAAAACAAAGAAAATGGAAACTTGGGTTTAATAAATATTATTTACGACATTTCCTTAATTTTTTAACTTTTTAAACCAAGAGCCGTCAATTGTGGAGGCGTTCCAAAGTTTTGTGTGCACTCGTTATTCTCAGAAAAAATCTAGTTTCAGTAAAAAAATTTACAATTTTGTGTTCCCATTTGAAATTAAAAATTTGACGACGTTTTGGAACTAAAATCGAAGGGAAGTAACCTTTGGTCACGTTTTTGTAACTGTTCAAAATAGGGAAACCCTTATGGCGCATGTAAAAAAAAGACACCCTGTAGATTTTTAAATATAGAAACACACATAGAAACGATTTTTTTTCCTAAACGCAGGGATTAGTATGTAAGAGTAGGTAAATAAAGTCATTTATGGTTATAACAATAGAAGTAATTGTTATTTCTAGGTCGGCAGATGAGGTCTGTTGTGGCGTAGGCTTTAGACAATTTTTTCTTTATTGCCAACGTTTTGATCATTATTGAGATCATCATCAGGGCCTAAGATTTATAAACATTCTTTAAATTTTACATACATGTAGGATGTGAAAAAATTATTTATAGAATGCAAAAACATTTTTGAATTTAAAAAATGAATTAATACAATGCTAGGAAATGTTAGATAAAATACAAATGAATTTATACAGTGCTAGAATATTTTAGATTTAAAAAAATGAATTTATACAATGCTGGAAAAATTTTGGATTTAAAAAAATTAATTAATACAACACTAGAAAATTTTACATAAAAAAATGAATTTATGCAATGCTAAAAAATTTTAGATTAAAAAATTGAATTTCAGCAGCACTAGAAAATTTTAGATAAAAAAATGAATTTATACAATGCTAGACAATTTTTGGATTTAAAAAAATTAAGTAATACAACGCTAGAAAATTTTACATAAAAAAATGAATATATACAATGCTAGAAAAATTTTGGATCAAAAAATGAATTTATACAATGCTAAAAAAAATTTGGATGAAAAAATTAATTTATACAATCCTAGAAAATTTTGGATTAAAAAAATGAATTTATACAATGCTAGGAAATTTTAGATTAAAAACAAATGAATTTATACAGTGCTAGAAAATTTTACATCAAAAAAACGAATTTATACAATCCTAGAAAATTTTGGATTAAAAAAATGAATATATACAATGCTAAAAAATTTGGATTAAAAAATGAATTTATACAATCCTAGAAAATTTTGGATTAAAAAAATGAATTTATACAATCCTAGGAAATTTCAGATTAAAAACAAATGAATTTATACAGTGCTAGAAAATTTTAGATTAAAAAAATTAATTTATACAATGCTAGAAAATTTTTGGATTTAAAAAAATTAAGTAATACAACGCTAGAAAATTTTTGGATTTAAAAAAATTAAGTAATACAACGCTAGAAAATTTTACATAAAAAAAATGAATATATACAATGCTAGAAAATTTTTGGATTAAAAAATGAATTTATACAATGCTAAAAAAAATTGTGGATTAAAAAATGAATTTATACAATCCTAGAAAAATTTGGATTAACAAAATGAATTTATACAATGCTAGAAAATTTTAAATTCAACCAAAGCATTTATACTCACCCAAAGTGTTTGTTAGTGGGTACAAATACTTCGATTGAATCTAAAATTTTTATTTTTTTTAAACTAAAATTTTCTAGCATTGTATAAATTAATTTTTTTATTCAAATATTTTCTAGCATTTTATATATTCATTTTTTTTAACATCCTACATGAATTTGTAAAATTTAAACAATGTTTATAAATTCCAGGCCCTGAAGATGATCTCAATAAACATCGAAACGTTGGCACGATAAGAAAATGTTTTTCTAAAACCTACGTCACAACAGTCCGCATCACACGACTTCCAAATAATCATCTAGTATCGGTCACTAAAAACTACACAATAATTGTGTTTCATACTTGGTTTTAGAAAACAAAAATTCGTTAAACACTGCCTTCTGGGTTCAAATATCGGAATAGCCACTGATTTTTAGTTTATTTTAATATAAAAAAATTACTGAAAAATGGATTGGGCACTCGGCCTAGTTGTGGTAGTTGGACGATAAGCGCTCCTACCTGAAATGTAGACTTTTTGATAACATTAAAGAGCAGAATTGGCTAACAAAATGAAGTGTTATGAAATCTCTTTTGAGCTCGTTTATTTTAGTTCATAAATAAAATAAATTAATTTTTCTCTCGTTCTATAAACACGAACAAAATTTATTAAGCAGAAGGATTAAAGATTGTTTTTCCTTCTCGCATTGATTATCCCGATAATTATTCATATGCCAAAATATTCCACCACCCACGTTCCTCATGGCATAAAGCCGGTATGAGTCAACCGTCGGATTAAGAAAGCAGGCAATTATCAGCAACAATGGCAGCCGGCAGAGGCCTTGCTAGTAGTTTTCGGAGTGGCGCTCTATTTTCGGCGTTTTAAGTTTTGGTACGAGGCCAATTTCGTTGTTAGTGAGAGACCCATCCCTTTCGAGTACCAATCGGTTCTTCAGAATGATATGAAACGTGGCCATCCCTATCGCAACTGTCAAGTCTTTAAAAGTGGAAAGTACCAGTGTTAAAAAATTCCTTAATAGCCTGTTATTTTTCCGTTTGACTCTTGTTCGCTCGAGTTTTAACAAAGTGTACCGTTCTATTCCATGTCGTTTATTCAAAAAGATAAAATATGTCTGGTCTAGTATTGAGCAAAAGTTCGGCCAACATCGGCACAAGGTGGCTCCAGTCGCAGACCGTGCAGAGGAGCTCGAGCGAAGTCGTCGTCAGCCGCGGGTTCAAGCCCAGCGACACCAAAAACCCAAAGACGACCAGGTTTTTGACCGAGCTCTCTCATAAAATGTGGGGAAGGTCTCTGGTAGGTCCAAAAAATTAAAAAATTATTTATTTAATCTACAAACCGCTTAATAAAAAAATTGCAAATTTTTTTTAGAACAGTATTAAACATTTATTTTATATAGTTCACAGAAATTTTTAAACAAAACAGTCAAGAACGTTTTTGGACTGGGCCTTTTATTAATAATTTATCTGACCCGGTCCTGTAATCTGGGTATAAACAACTCCTAGCCTCCACGCAACCGATAAAAATATTCTCCGAGCCATATTTGACTGTTTGGACTTTTTAAACATTCTCAAGACTTTCTGTCTATCAAAAATTGTCAAAACACTAAAATAATGCATTAAATAATTGACGAAATTACAAATAAAAACAAGACCAAGAAAACACACCTAAACACTCGTGTCTTTCGACGATATCCAATTTCCAAATCTAAACATGCGTAATTATCCAAAATTAAAACAAAATTGTCGAAAGCAAATATATATAAATGCAAAAGTAAAATCGACGGGCAAAAATAGGCAAATACAAAAAATCATTGAACAACTAAACGACGAACATTCATGATTATAAATCATACCAATAAATAATAAATACGAAAGATAAGGTCACACTGGCGTTGACCATTGATATAAATAGACTTTTTTGTTTTATAAGTGCTTTATTTAACCAAAATTAAAACTAGAATAATTTAAAATTTAAGCTAAAAAAAAAACGATCTTTCACGCCAAAACTCAACTTCTAATGATTTTTTTAAAATAGGGTAAACGTTGTTTAATATATATACTTTTCAATTATATTTTATC